CTCCCCTGTGAGGTCAGGACATAGCTGCAGGACAAGAGCTGTGGCCACCTGGAGCTGCAGAAACAGGGATATGAGGCAGCACCACACTGTGTTCCTGCTCAGATCCCCTGACTAACCAAGCCTCAGCCACCAAGTCACAGATTACAAGCCTCCCCACGGATGCCCCCAGCCTCCTCAGATCTCACATCAACGCCAGACTGCCCTGTTTGTTTCTGATCACCACGACTTCCTAACACATTCAAAAGTAAGAGTGGCGCAAGGGACATTGTGGTCAAGGAGGATCACTCTGTTTATGTGTTCTCAGATGGATATAATTCTCAGATGGCTATAAAATGTCAAGGCCACCACAGGTTAAGTTTGGGAAACATTCTAAGTGTTGTTGAACAACCATGGCTGGGAAAGTCTGCAGGAAACTGGCACAACTGACTCTGACTGGGTGCTCCACACGTCCATAATGCTAATTACTTGCTACTTCGCCTTCACCATCCCATGGAGTCCTCACAGGACCCTGGAATGAGGAATCCAAGATAACTTAGCCAAGTTCACATCATCCATAAATTTGCATCCCAGCTCGGAGGGACACAGTTGGGCCAGTTGTGTGCTGGCAGAGCAGACAGCTGCTTGCTCAAGTTGATTTGTAGGAGGGCGAGGGTCTGGCGTTGAAGTGAGAAAGGGTGAGAGGGGAGGGTGAACAACACAGATCCCACCGTGCAGGATGACAGGTGCTGTGGGCAGCCCACAGGTGCTGAGGACTGGGCTGACAGGCTTCCCTGGGGACCAGTCACAGAGGAGACTCCTCCACCCACTTCTGAGGGAGCACTGAAATGAAAACAGTGACCCTGTGAACCGTTCTGCGGGAACTCTTAAAGAATCACATATAGGGCTAGGAAGATGGTACAGTGGTTAAGAGAGCTTACTGCTCTTGCAAAGGACCCAGGTTCAGTTCCCAGCACCCACAAGGTGACTCACAATGGCCTGTAACTCCAATTATAGGGGATCCAATGCCCTCTTCTGGTCTCCTTGTACACACACACACATATCACCTAAATAATAAATACATCTTTTTTTTTAATCACACATATTTTCAGATATCCGTTTAAAAAATTCAAAGTCTACAGAGGCTGTTATGATTTGGATGAGAAATGTCCCCCATAGGTTCATGTGTTTGAACACTTGTCCCCAGATGGTGGTGGTGTTTGGAAAAGTTATGGAAGTGTTAGGAAGTGGAGCCTCACTGAAGAAAGTGCATCAGTGGGGGTGGGCCTTGAAGTTTTATAGCCTAGCCTTACTTCCTGTCTGATCACTGCTTCCTGACAGCCAGTACAGTGGGACCAGTCACCTCACATTCCTGCCACCATGACTTCCCTGCCAAGATGGACTGTAATTCCCTTGAATATAAGCCCAGATAAATAAATTTTTCCTTCCTTAAGTTCCCTCTTGTCAGATATTATATCACAACAATAAGGTAAATGACTGATACCGAGACAAACCCCACCTGGAGCAAAGTAGACTGGGAGGCTGGGGTGGATTTCCATTCTTGTACTACAGATGTATACATGCTGTTGAACCTGCATGTACTCAGGAGGTCATCACACAAGCCACACCCCAGCCTATCTTCATCTTTTCTGGAGGTTATTCTAAGGAAAGCAGCAGGCTGTGGTGGGGGTAAGGCTCTACTTCCTCGTGGGGTGATGGACATGGGGCTCAGCTATGCCAGATCAAGTCTACAGCGTCTGAGGACTTATCCTCTACTCACAGTATTATCCCCCAGCATGGAGTCATCCCCCCAGTTCAAGCAGCTCACTCCAAATGGATGGTGCTACAACACTGAACACCCCAGGTCCGTCAGAATCAGACAGAACATGCATGTTGTGCAACAAACACACAGATGAACAGAGTTGGGGATACACCAAGAGTGACACGAGCAGGGGGACGGGCTGCTCGTGTTCACGGAAGCAGATTGGTTGCCTCTGAGGGGTTCTCCTGTCACATGAGGTGGGGGTCCTCTGTCACATGAGGTAGGGGCTCAGATGAGCTTCTCTGGGCACCTGTAGCTTGATTCTGCTTTCTTCCCTGCAAGGACAGAGAGCCCCTCTCCCAACCAAACCAGGCATCTCTAAATCATGTATTGTGAGAATTTTCTCCAGGGGCAGAAGGGGGACACTAGGCAACGTCTAATTCCCACCTTCTAAGGTTCCAATAACAAATCAAAGTTCCCCCTGGAGAACCAATGAGTTTATTAGGCTTGCTTACAGAACGTGGGTGAGGGGTTACAAGCAGGTGACCCTAAAACAGCCACATTGGAAGGTTTGCACCCAGCATGGATGATGGCTCCCATGGCCGTGTAGATGGAACCCTTTTCCCTAGTCCTCCTGCAGCCTATGTTCTCCACCCCCTCCCTGAGACACTGAGGCCATGTGCTGGGAAAAGGGGCTGGATAGTGACCCTCCATTCACCTTCCTTCTACGAGGGAAAGTCAACAAACCATAAGCACAGCTGGGTGATCTTTTGCAAGCGGGCCAGCTGGTCTCATGAACATGGGGGTTGCTCTGCTCAGAAGATAGAGTTGTGCAACACTACGATATCTGAATAAGCCTCTGGGGGCAGATGACTAAATCCAATGAAGTTTCAAAAAGCTTCTGTCAAGAACTGTGAGGGCCTGCAGTCCCCCTGCCCTTCCAAGCTACCATGTCAGCTCCATGAAGGATGCTGACAGGAGCCACAAGACTCCTAGGTCAAGGACACCACTCACAGCAACAGCGTCCCTGCAGGATTCAAGTGAAGTGTGAGACACCACGACTACTGCATCAGATGACATACAGGACGGCTGAGTCTGGGGTCCTGAATCCACTAAAACAGGAAGTAACGTGCCTTCTCTTTCCCCCAGAGACAGACATCCACTTTGGGACACTGAACAGTGGGCACACCTCTTCTCCGGCTCCTCCCATGATAGCACCTCTTCTAAGACTCTAAGCAACCCTGCCTGTTCTTTCCTCCGAGGGGATATAGGGGTGGGGAGACACCAACTTCATCTGCCAAGGTAATTCACCATGTGAGCATTCTTAGATGATTCAGGGGTGCGGTAGAGCCAGTGAAAGGCCTTGGGTTTGACTTTGAGGAGTACACAACCCTCCCCCCACCTACCCATATACACCAACAAAAAGAAATACATCTAAAGCAAAGGGCTATCAGGACCTCTCTAGAGAGACCCACAGAAAGACAAGTTGCCCTAGGGATTTGTCACAATAACTGTCTCTCCCTGGTCACAAATGGGGCTGCGTGTGACAATGTGTTTTCTTTGAAACATGAAGGTGTTCATTGTTTTTTACTAAGAACTCTGAAGACAAAAAAAGGAAAAAGCATCGTGGGTTCCTACAGCAGGCTCCCGGTGGTTCCTTTCCCTGGCACTCCCTCTCACATGTGAACCTGACCTGGCAATTGGCCTACTGAACAGAACACAGCAAACATGGAGGCCTGTGCCTCGCATTTGGGTTAGAAAGGGCTGAGGCTTTGGTCTCACTGTTTCTCTGGCTCTTCCCAAGCGCTCTGATGAAATGCTGCCATGTTGGGCTGCTCCTTGGAGAAGTGCGCTTCACAAGCGGCTCAGTGACCTCGGCTCTCCACCCAGCCAGGGGGAAACAGCCCTCCATTCTATAGCCTCAGAGGTGGAACCCCACGGAAACCACATAGCGAGTAACCAGGCTCTCGCTTATGACAGACCCTAAGAGAAAGGACCCACTAAGCCCCACATAAATCCCTGACCCACACACACCTCACAGTAATAAATATCCCTGTCCAGGTCACTACGTTTCAGAATGATTTGCTTTATCTACAGCAATAGATAACCAACATGGCTACAGAGACACTGGAACAAAATGGCACCACACAACCTTCTGAAGTTCAGAGAATTTATTTGTTTTCCTGAAATCTGGGTTTGAGCAGAGCAAATGCTCCTACCTGGATAATAATAGAAAGGAATCTGTATGTTTGTATAACTTACAGAAACATTGGTCACTGCTAAATGGGTTCTCTTCCTATAGTTTAAAAGGCAGGCAGCAACTCCAGACCCATGACCACATGACTACTACAATATTGACTGTTTTGTGGCTGAACCAAACGAAGCAAGAGCTTTATGGCTATGACTGAATAGTGATTCCATAATGAACACTGTGGCTACAATACCGGTGATAAAACTTCAGTTCTTCAGAACAGCACCCAGAAACAGTTTCCCCTCTTCTGATCAAACAGCCCTTCCCTCAGTGACCCTCTGCACTTCCTGGCGGAAAGAACAGTGTTAGACGTGGTGGCTGGTACACCAGGGCAGCTCACGGCCACTGGGGGTTGGAGGATGCCTGTTAGCAATGTTGTGAAAGGTGGGGTTCAGGAGGCGTCTCCCCTGTGCCATGGCCTGCCACCACTCACACGTTCTCCTTGTCAAACTCGCACATGAAGTACATGGTGATGTGGCAGGCCACGTCATTCCAGCCCCCCGAGGCCACCATCTCCACACAGTCCTCCTCATCGTAGGCATTGTTGGGCTCCCCACTGCGCCACTTGTTGAAGGTCTGCATGGGGGAGCGGTCCGAGTATACAAACATGCCTTCCCTCTCCAGGTCGTTGATGCCAATGAAGACGCGGGCCAGGCCAGCCTGCACAAGGTACGTGGCCATCAGGCCATTGGCAGCCTCATCCTTGGGCATGCTCAGTGTGCCTCCACGGCCCTGGCAGGCCAGCTGGGCATCTGAATATCGCTTCTCCTCCTTCACCAGCAGATAGATCTTGCTCTCCGACTCACGCACACCAGCGACAGCTGCAGGGGAGGGCAGTGCTGAAAGGCGAGCACTGGCATTTCTATAAACAAACAACGCACACCACCACACCACAGGCCACAGACATGGCAGCGGTGGGGACAGAGCAGCACGTGGAAGCCACTGCTGTTCAGTTTTGGGGACAGGAGAAGTGTAAGGAATGGGGAAGGGGAAGGCCTGAGTTCAACGTACCATTTTTTATGAATTTTAGCTCAGTTGTCAGCTGGGCGACCTGGTTGTCCATCTCCCCAATGGCCTTCCTCAGCTGGCTGCACTCACATGGGATGCCTGTGGGAAGCAGCCCATTATGCAGGGGGGTGGGCTCAGTATAGCACACATGCATACACACATACACACATACACATACACATGCACGGGCAGACAGACAGACAGACACACGTGCACAAACACATATGCACAGGTACACATGGATACACACAAACACACAGAGACACACCCACCCACAGACACACACGCATACTCACACATGTACACACACATACATATGCACAGACACACAGACACACACACACACACCAACACACACACACACACACACACACACACACACACACCAGATGCAAATGCCATGGAGAGGGGGATCAGGAAGTAAGCAACCCAACCTTTAGGGTAAGCGTGGTTGAGCACAATGGCAGACAGACACCTTGCAGACAGGCCAACTATGACCCTGAGAAGATCATGAAAGCTCTCAATAGAGACAGTGAAGACTGAAATATCCTGCTGGGGCTGACAAGAAAACGCGAGCTCCTTGGGCTCCCTGCTTTCCTGCCCACTGCAGTTTTAGTTAGTAGTTTTTTTCGTTGAATTTTTGCAAACTTCATACAATACATTTTGATCACATTTAGGCCCCCTCCCCTAGCTGCACCCTCCTCTTGATACCATCCCCCAATTTCATGAACTCTTACAGCTATTAAAGCCTATTGAGTTAAATTTGAGTCCCCTAATGCCCTTCAATGTGGATCCATCCACTGGAGCCTAGCTAACCCATTCCTCATCACATCCTTAAAAATACCCACTCTCCCCGTCCCAGAAGCCATCAGTTGCCAGCAGTTCTCAGCCAGGACTGGGGCTTCCTGCCCACCTCCTCGATTTTTAAATATTTTTATGAGTATGTATTAATTATTCCTAATGATGGGTTTCATCATGGCATTTTCACACACATACATGTTTTGATCATTCACCCTTGTTAACCGTCTCTTGTTCCCCACCTCCAACTGATGCCCTCCCTCTTCACAATTAGTCCCCTTCTCTTTTCATGTCTTTGGGTGTGCATGTGTGACCTAGAGAGTTTCATTAGGGTTTGTTTACAAAAGCATGGACACCTTACCAAGTGGCTACACCCCTGAAGAAAATGTCTCTTGCTCCCCATCAACCATTAACTGTGTTAATTTTTCTATGTGTTTGGTTTTGTTTGTTTTAAGACAGGGTCTCAGATAGACCAAGCTGGACTGGCACTCGGTATGTAGCTAAGGATAACCTCAAATTTTTGATCCTCCTGCCTCCACCTGCTGAGGCATGTACCACTATGCCCAGTTTATGAGATACTAAGGATGGAACCCAGGGCTTCACGGTACTAGGTAAACACTCCACCAACTGAGCTATATTCCCAGCTCTATATGATTCATATTTTTAAATATAAACTTGATAGTAGATTTTATTAAATTTTTTTAGCCTTTATGTCATACCTGGTTCTCCATTAGGGCCAGGGGGTCCCATGTCACCAGAATCTCCTTTTTCACCTGATAAAAAAAAACAAACAAAACCAAAGTTACCATGCAAAAAGGATATCGCTTGAGTTAAAATGGATCGAGTTAGAGATCTTGTTTCTTGGGGCTAGGGATGCAGTTCAGTGATAGATCACTTGCGTAGCAAACAGGAGGCTCTGGGTTCAATCCCTAGCACTTCCCACTGCCATGTTCTGTGGACATCTCTTCAAGCTATTTACGAACAGGAATACATGTGTTCTGTGGGCTTTGGGGAACATCCCACGGCATGCATTAAGTCACTCTGGGGAGCAAAGTGCCCTTCAGGGACCACTTCTCAGGTAGCATTGAATGACTCTGTAACACCAAGAGTAGATGACCATAGGCTAGCACTGCTCCAATATTCCTCCACACAACAGAAAATCCAGATGGAACACAGAATGGGAGGGGGAGTGGGCTTAGGGACAGCCTGATCCAAGAGTGCAAACAGCACTGCTAATCCCAAGCTGTAACTCAAGTCCCTCTGCATCCACTCCAGAGAGTGTGGTATCGTAGAAGGGTCCAAACACCAGGAGTCCAGGCCCACCTCCTGGTAGGCAGAATGAGCCTCCTAACCCCTCACCTTCAATCTTCTCAACATATAAAACATGGCATTGAGCAAAATGACAGCAACAGAGCTCCCCAAACACTGTGAAGTCAAGCTGTGGGTGGATATCCATTACATCAGCATTCCTAAAGTGTTCCTCTTCTTTCTCAGAGAATGTAACTGTCTCCATGAAGGGTTGTGACTTCCACATCCACAGATTCAGATGGGGAGCAGCACAGCAGGCCCATCCACTCATTCCTCTGTATTCTTGGATCCACGTCAGGGGCTTGAAAATGACCAGAAGCTCAGCCTGACAAGGACCCAAGACAACTCTGGAGACAAAGCAAATCGAATAAACAAACCAAATAAAGGTCATTCTGGCCCACTGTCTCCATGTGAGATTCAGAAGTCTGTCCAGCACACATGCTGTGTAGTAAAGGAACATGCGTTCCTTCTGCCCCCATCATTGCAGCACAGTGCACAGTAGCCAATAGAGAAAGACAGCCCAAGTGTCCACAGATGGATGGATGCTGCTTGGACCTCCAAGCAAACAAAACAGGCAACATCTTCATCAGACCAGCTGTGACTACCTGCAAGAATCCATCAGATCAGACCTGTTATCTGCCTACAAGGAGGGGGCAGGTATTTGCATGTAATTTTACCCTGATCACATGTAGCCTGGGGCCTTCAGGTCTCAGAGAGAGAGAGTGTACAGGCTGAAGAAGGTTAATAGAAGGGAGCATTCCTTCTCTGCAGCTATGGGGAAGCCACCATCCATGCTGAGTGAAGACTTTCCAGTGTGGTTGCTTTGACTCACACTCCTGTCAGTAACCCCTTGCCCATGCTCCGTTTAAGTAAGTGCAGTAAATACACTGGCTCCCCAGACAGAACTTTAGTCTCTCATCAGGACCTTATGAGGAGGGGTAGATGTCTCCCAGGGGAAGGAATTTTCACAATACTTGAACAAAATATGGAATATCTACAGAATAAATATTCAGCCTTAAAAGGTAAAGGAATTCTGGGAGCATTACACTGAGTGGACTAAGCCTGCCCCAGAGGACAAATGCCATCATGTAATGTGTGTGAAGCACTTAGGGTGGGCAAATTCAGAGAGGTAAAAAGTAGACTCAGGGGCTGGAGAGCTATTGCTTAATGGTACAATTTCTCTTTGGGGTGCTAAAAGCTTTTGGAAAGAGAGGACATGGCTGTATCTCATTGCAAAGGTACTGAATGCCACTGAACTGTATACTTGGAATGGTTGAAATGACATCTCTTATGTGATCAATATTTCATCACAGTTCTGTGAAGTTTTTGAAGTGTGCATGTCCCTTAGCACTCCATGTTCATCAGGGTGATGTCTGATGGTAGGCTCTTCCCATGAGCCTTCCAGAAAAAATGACTGAGCTGAATGACCACCTGGCCCACACTCCTGGCCAATGCTCCCTTCTACAGATAGGGAAGGGCTACAGCTGGTCTACAATTGCCAATCAGAACTAACTAACCAAACCAACTTGCAGCTCAAACCTGGGCCAAGGCCTCTCGGAGTCAAGGCCAACTTGCTCCAGTATGAAAAGCCAGGGAACAAACCTGGGAAGGCCACAGCCAGACTCCTTCCCTACCTCAGATTCCCAGCACAGCTCTACGTCAGCCACTGGCCTCCCCAGCTCAGTCTCCCCATGGTCAGCCCATGACAGGGTCACAAGGAGGCCTTTGTGAGATCATACCAAGATGACCACTGTTTCTTTGCCACTAGCTCCTCAGTGTCCCCTAGGTTCAGTCCAAGCAAGGGACAAATCAGGTGCTCAGAATACATCTGTTGTCTGAATGCCGAGTAGAGTGGCAGAGAGCAGGGCAGTGCAATGTTCATGGATCCTTTAACTGCCCTATGTTCTGACCTTCTCACCACCAGGATTCTGACCGCCCACCACAACAAGATTGCACAGGTCATATGCAGTAGCCAAGATGGCAGTACCTGAAACCACAGGTGCCACCTGACACTGGGGTGGCCACCACCCTCCACCCTGTTCAGACTGAGAATCAGTCCACAGTCTCAAGATGCCTGGAAAAGTGAAGGTGAGGGTGAATATATGCAGAGCTTCATGACACGGCCTATCCTGACCACATGGGGCTCCCATCATCTCACCATGCTTGTTAAGGAAACTGTAGCTGAAGGACCTGGCCCACGTACACAAGCTCTAGATCTTGCATTCAGGAGGGTCAAAACCCCATAAATGTTGCAGACTGGATCAGCTCCACCCACCCTGATGCACACAGAGCCAGCGACTCCTCTGATCCATCTCTGCTCCCCGTAAGAGAGATGACAGAGTTTAGCAGGATGGCACAGGTGACAGGACACCAGATAGGGTAGCACAGTCAGCAGCTGTTCTCAGACACCATGAGCCCTGCAGGGAACTCAGAGAAAGGACTGCCTCACAATACCTTTAGCACCAATGGGACCAATTTTTCCATGGCGGCCCACGTTGCCTTTCTGTCCTTTGTCCCCCATGTCTCCTGCAAAAACAGTAAGAGCAAAATTGGTTGGTGCACAGGTAACACAGCACACCTCCTCCTCACCATCACACACACACACACACACATGATCCAGCACACCTCATACTCATCATCTCATACACACGCTTCCTCCTCACCATCACACACACACAGATCTAGCATACCTCCTTATTCTCACTCTCTCTCTCTCTCTCCTCTCTTCTCTCTCTCTCACACACACAGATCTAGAACACCTCCTTACCACCACGCAAACACACACATATGATCCAGCACACACCTCCTCCTCAGCATCATACACATGAATACCCATGCACACACAGGTGATCTGACATGCTTCCTCACCATCACACACAGGAACACGCAGAGCCCACTCCCTGCAAGGCAGCTCCCTAAACATCCAAACTCTCCTCTCCCTGTCCTCCCCTCTTCCACCTCACCCTCTATCTGCTCCATCAGGAGCTGCCTTTCCTCCAGGCTCACTCTAATATGCTCATGCTCCTCATGGACTGAGATACCCAGGCACACTGAGCATCCACACAGGGCTGGCTACTACCACTCGCTGCTGTGGACTGACTGCAGAAGCCATTTCCCCCTGACAAGAGGTAGAGGTTGGGTCTTTGGGAGGTGATTGGGGTTAGATGGGGTCACACAAATGGGGGGACAGGATAAGAGTCCTAGTATAAGAGGGAAGACCCCAGAGCTCCCGCTCTGCCACAGGATTCAATCTAAGAACCAGGAAGAGCCCCTCTCAGGACCCAATAAACCATGTTGGCACCTGGAATTCCACCTTCTAGCTTCCTGGGCTAGGAAGGCAAGTGTCTGTGTCTTCAGCCCCACCCCCAATCAGTCGTACTTTATCTTGACAGCCATGCTAACTGATGCACTGCACCTCCCTTGTTCTGAACTCACTGTCTCTGCTTGAAGGCTTAGAGCTGATCACAGGGCTTCTGCTCAGCCTCCTGCAAAGACAGCTCTCTAGAAGACATCACCAGATTGCATGGCTGTCACATGGTACCCTGCGGCCATCCCACCTCCCCCCAGTGCAGTCTTCTTCCCAATCTTGTGCTTGGCAGGCCACCTCTCCCAGCCTTGGTCCCCCATATGTCCCCGCCTAGATGATGTTTGTTACTTTCCGTCTCCTGGGTCTTGGAGTGCTTCTGCACTGTGCTTCTGAGCAGTTCAGAGCTGTGACACCCTCCCATGCTGAATCACAATAAATGTGGGCTTTACTCACCAACATCAGTGAGTGTCCAGATCAGGACAAGACCCTTCAGACCTTCTGATGGAGGGCAGAGGACCAGAGACCTCAAGATTGGCTCAAGTTCCTGCAGTGTGTTTGAGGGAGATCTGGCCCAGCTTGCCCTTCTGCTAGCCGGGGACCCTCCACCCCACTGCACTGCGCTAGCATGTAAAGAATAGACCAGATGGTCATTCCAACACTCAGGGCCTGCCACGTTCCCACATGGGCAGTGACAGGGTAGCTGGAGCTTGGAATGAAAACCAAAAATATCACCCTGGAAGGGCCAGCTCTTGCTAAAGTCCAAACCTCAAGAGACCTGCTGTCTGCCTCCTGCCACCTGCTGCAGCAAAGCAGACTGGATTGAGGGTCCCACATGTGCATAAGAAGTTCACTGTGTGCTGTATGAGAAAAGATGGGAAGGCAGTCAGAGACCTCCTGTCTGCTGTAGAGTTGCTTTGAGGTCCTTTGAGAAACATGTAGCTGGTTCAAGAAGTTCTGCCTTCTCCACCTCCAACCACACACAGCAGGTTCCCAAGGTGACAGGCAGACAGGATAAAGAGGCTCAAGGTCCCAAGGGGAAACACCTCATTAAAATGTCCTTGGGTGATTTTCTTTCCTGCAAAATTCCCACCTCAAGAGAACGATCAATTAGCACTCACTCCATCAGCTGAAGGGCTCAGTGAAGAGTCCAGCCTGAATCCTGCTGTCATAAATCAGCCACAACCTGAGGATGATTTGAGAACACTTGGCTTCGGCCCATCCCCAACTTACACAGTCCAACTTGAGCAGGAATTCAAGGGTGTTGCTGATACTTGGTTACCAGCTGGCATTGTGCTCAGTTCTGCCCTTGGGGAAGCACGGGTGCCAGGCTCTGGCACCAGGGTGCACAAAACCAGGAGCAAATGTGGAAAACAAGATGCAGTGAAGGCAGCAGCATCTCACACCATGTAACGCATGAGGCTGGCAGAGTCTGAGTCCCAAGCCTGGGAAAGCAGACGTTGCCTGCCTGTGGAGGCAGCAGTTTACAGACTGTAGGGGGTCTCACAGTCTCCTGGTGCTGGTTAAACCACAAGAAACTGGACTTGGGCCCAGAGGATGACTTAGTGGACCGGGGATGGATAGTGCAGCACGTTCCCACGTAATATTGATGGCAATGGTCTAAAAATCACTGAGGTTTGGGGTACTAGGAACCAAGAAGAGGGGCCTCACCAAGGAGTGATACAGGCTGGGTCTGCACATCTCTCCACTCTCAAGGAGCCAAGCCACATTGAGTGAGTTGTTTGAACCCTCTGGGCTTTTCTTTTCTCCTCTGAAAACCTGGAGTCCAGGGCCAGGGACGTAGCTCAGTTGGTGGAGTGCTTGCCTAGCATGTGTGAAACCCCAGGTTCAACTCCCAGGACTACATAAACTGAGCATGGTTGTACATGCCTGTAATCCCAGCACTCGGGAAGTACAGGGAGGAGGATGAGAAGTTCAAGATCATCCTGAACTATATAACCGTTTCAAAGCCAGCCGGGGCTACATGAGACCCTATCTCAAAAAAATAAAAAACTGGAATCCTATAGTAAAGGACTTTGAAAGAAAATGCACATAAACCAATCCCTCCCACAGCTTTCTACTCTCCTGCCTTGCTCAGAACAGTCTGGCATCCTTGTTGGCCCCTGTGCTGGGTCCATAACTACGAAACAGGGCTGGCAGCATGCCCCTGGCTGGCTGCTGTGGAAACAGGCAGAACTGCACCTGGCACACAGCAGGTGGAATGCACGTGTCCCCAGTGACAATCATTCATCATCACAGGCAGAGACACTCAAGAGTCTGGAAGTGTGACAAGCCACACAGACAGCCCCAGGGGCTGGATGGATGTGCACCTGCACTGTACCACGGTCCCTGAGTGATTGATGGGCACCAAAGCCAGCTAGGATTGACTTGGACCCTGCTTCTTTGAATCTGTCTAAGATTCTATCATCACATACTCCTTGAAGGCAGCAGAAGCAAGCAGGGGCTTCAGTGAGATGCATGGCGTGTGCTCAGCACTCCATCATTAACAGATAAATTCAGACACTTCTGGTATACTGTGCCAGAGCAGCACGTTCAAGTGTCTGCTGTGCTCAGCCTCACATCATTCTCTTTGCCATCTGTGTGCGTGTACACATGTTTATATGTGTGCGTGTGTGTGTGCATGTGGAGCCCAGAGGCCAAGTGTTTACTGAAACAGGGTCTCTCACTAGTATGTGCTACCATGCCTGACTCTTTTTCAAATGAGAGATCAAACTCGGGTCCTCATGCTTGCATGACAAGCACTTTACCAACTAAGCCATCTCCCTAGCCCCTCGTCTCCATCCTTTATGAGCTGGACTATCCCTCTAAAAGGTCTGTGCTAGACTGGAGAGATGGTTCAGCAGTTAAGAGCACTAACTGCTCTTGTAGAGAACCTGGGTTCAATTCCAAGCACCCATATGGCAGCTAACAACAGTTTGTAAGTCCTGTTCCAGGGGAGTCTGATACCCTCTTCTGACCTCTGAGGGCATTGCACACATGTGGCGTACTTACATACATCCAGGCAAAACACCATACATATAAAATAAAAATAAATAAATCAAAATAAATTTGTATAAAAAGTCTGTGCTGAAGTTCTAACCCCAGTATGACTTGTTCTGGAAATAGGATTTTTAAAGAGGTCCTTGAGATTCACTGAGATCACAGGTTGGGCCCTGATTCAACAGCAGTGGTGGCTCTATGAGAGAAGACACCAGGCATGCACAGAGAGGAAAGGCCATGTCAGAACACAGCAAAAAGATAGTTGTCTGTAAGCATGGAGAAACCAGGCCTGCCCAGCCTTGGTCTTAGGCTTCCAGCCTCCAGAGCTCAGAGGAAAAGAATCTCTGTTATTCAAACCACCAGCCTGAGTACCCAAGCTGACTGACCCAGCACTCTTCTGCCCTAGCAGAGAAGCAAGGTCAGAGGGGGAGGTGACTTCTGTGGGATGAACATTGATCTTGTGAAGATTATTGTCCAGTGATGCCAGCACAGACTGCACTCAGACCCAGACCCGAATTCCAGGTCTCCATTTACAAACCCTTGGGCAAATTATAAACTTTCTCTCTCTCTCTCTCTCTCTCTCTCTCTCTCTCTCTCTCTGCTAGCCTATCTTCTTTATCTCCATAATTATCTAGAACTAAGGTTTAGTGCGTTATACTTATCTCTCTCTCTCTCTCTCTCTCTCTCTCTCTCTCTCTCTCTCTCTCTCTCTCTCTCTCTCTCTCTCTCTCATCTCCTGGTAGCCCCAGGCAGTTATAACCATCTTTAAGCCTCAGACTCCTCATCTGTAAATGATGTCCTAATGATCCTCAGAGCCCCTGGTCACTGTGATCATCAGGAACCCAGAGTACGACACACGCAAAGGCAGATACCAAATAGCATAGATTCCACATAGGCCAAGGTCACTTGACTCCACATCAGGGCTCCAAACCTGGCACCTCAGATACAGGACAGGGGCCTCACCTGCTGAAACTTGGCCTCTGTCTTAGTTATCCCCAGAGTGCAGCAAGCGTTCTCCTAACAGGCCCAGGAACTGCTGGAAAGCTAAAGCATACAGGCTCAAAGTCTCTCCGCCCTTTGGGAAGGCAAACAATGGCCTCCTAAAGTGCTGCAGGTAGGAGACTGGAAACCCACAGAGCCTGCCTGCTGTATCTACCCTGAGTGAGGAGGGCCCAGTAGGGCTCACTATGGCAACCAGGCAGCATGTCTCCCCTGTTCTCCC